CATTGGGTAAGGTGGTGCTCAAACTGACCTTGCCCACATGCAACCATACAAATAACAAATCAAAGTTGATCAATAGATAAAGTAATTCATATGCAATATAGATTTATGATCATATCTTCAATAAATTGTGAATTTTATTTCCAAAATTAATTACATGGATGGTATGGATTTTATTATATTCAACCATAAACGTTGTTTTCCCATTCAGTTTCTATTATTAGCTTGAATTTAGTTGCTTGTTTGAGGATTCATTAATTCTTCAATGCAAAGGAAATGAATTTGTTTTGATGTGCAGTCTTGGAGAATTGATGCATTAGATTGCACCACAAAAAATGGCTTGCTAAATTGTGTCCCTAGAGAAATCTACTCAACAAAAATTCAAATCCCCATCATATCATAAACAATCTCTCAAAGGTGACCAAAAGACAAAATAATCTATATACAAAATAGACTTATGCCTTTATCTTCAAGAGTAAAAGAGAAAATTGACCCTTAAATTATAGGCTTATGATTATATCATAAGCATTTGGGACTTTAAACTTATTTTTGTGTAATATTCCTATCAAATTTTGAAAATGGTGTATTTCAGCTCCTACTATTAACAGAAGTTAATTTTAACCATTAATTAATAAAAAAAAGATAATAAAATAATCTCAAAATTTACAAAAAAAAAAAGACTAGTGAATTTCCTTGGCCATTTTCTATAATTTTGAATCCTCATATGTAGCTTTTGGATCCTTTATTGTATTTTTTGGTCTTTTTTTTAATTTTTGGCATGATTTTCTAGTCAACTAATTAATTATAAGAATTAAATTGCACCATTTTTAAAAATTATGATCCTAGACACTCCTCTACTTATAGTTTATTAAGGGTCAATTTGCTCTTTATCCTATTTTTAATAAATTACAAATTTTATTCTCAAAATTAAATGTATGGACTGGATGGATTCATCAAACACAATCATAATATACCCGTGTTTTCAAAATTAGGGATAAATTCATGATCAAATATGATGAAGTTTGTAGAGTTGGCCTTGTCAATAATCTTAAACTCCACCTTATACCTACATTGACAAAGCACATGTTTATACATTAGCTAGCAAAATGTATATAACACTCAGTCAACACATATGTTCAAGTAGTCATAATAATATTGATTTGGTTTATATGTCTAAGACAATACTTTTCACAATTGGTCACCCTTTTCAGGAAATTCAGCTCCATCGATCAGCTTTTTTTTAAACACTTATTGCAAAAGTTGTGAAATAATCATTCACACTCAATCTCAAACCTCATGATAGTAGCCTTACTATAAACAGATAGTGTCCTATAGCATTCATGCATATGTTAGTACACAAGCATTTTTGTGAATATGGAAGAGAAATAATGGGCCATGGAATAGATAATGCTCCAAGTTGTAAACTTAGTGAAATACTTATGAATTTGGCGTCTGAATTGTAGTCCTTGTGCGGATAAAATAAAGGATCCCAAGACTTAGACCAAGCACTCCCACAATTCTTTTTTTATTATTTATATTTAAAGTTACATCAAGTGAATTCACATTTTTTTAATCTTCAGAAAACACATTTGTCATAATTTGAGAGAAAAAATTACGATCCAAATATTTAGTGATAAGTGATAACAAAATACTTGACAATCACAAATGTTCCTTATTTTTTGAAAATAATTAGATCTCATTTTTGCATGAGACATGGAGAGTTGAAATTAAATAGTACCATCAATCTTTTACCATGCCCTTGCCTTGCCATATAGCTTGAGAACTTTAAAGAACTTCTTATGCTCTTCATCAATTGCTCCTCATATTTCGTGATAACATATATATGGTTTCTTGTTGAAACTAATACAAATCTAATTAACTATATATTCCAAAAATGGATAATCAAGGCTTTAAAAACCGAACTAGCTTATTCCACCATTTCAACCCTGAATCAACCTCTAGTTTGGTGTAGCATGGACCATTAAACTATGACAAGTTGATCTAGTGAACTAGTATAAATGGAAAACCAAATGGTTAGGCGCCAATTCAAACTCCATATGTCTAAAAAAAATGGAGAAACAGATGAAATTGTTGAGAGAGGGGAAGAATATCTAGAAGAGAATAAATAGATTGAAACAATAACATTAAGAAAATAAATTATTTTGAGAAAATCACTATTGTAGTTGCACTTCTTCGATCACCAAACCATTAGATTTGCTATGAAATCGAGTAAATCCAATGAAGATCATAAGATTCTATCTTAGGGAGAACTTTGACGTTGAAATAAGATAAAAGAAGTGGAGGAAGAAAACAAATTGCCTGAAGAAAATGAGGAAGGAGGAAGATGATTTGTCCATTTTTCAGCAATGTAAAGAATGCAATATGATTACCCTTCCTTCCCTCCTAACCTGATCTACCTTAATTTGATTGATTTTAATATTATGCTATTAAAGAATGGAGGAGGAGCCGAAGAGGTGATAAGCAGGATGGGATTTGGGGTTTGATTGATTTTCAATTTTTAACATTATCATAATATTAATGAATGGAGAAGAAGGTGGGAATTGATTGGGAAATGGGAAAGGTAAAAACATTACAATTTAAAGCTCAGTCAAGGTTTTTCTTGAAAAACATTCCAATTTTGAAAATTTTACAATTAAAATTTAATCAATAATTATATCAGATTAAATATAATTTTTTGATGTAGCAAATTTGAAGAACCCCACGTCAGTATGTTTTTTTTTTTAAATTTGTATAGGATAATTAATTAATGCAGCAAATCACAGCACAAATAAAGGCCAACTCAATGAAATGTTTGGATAATAATATCTTAAAATAATATTATGATATTTTTGCAAAATTAATTAGTCAATGTCTATATGAACACGAGGAGAAAAACATGAAGCTGATGTGATTTCATAATATGTTGCCACGTGTGCTTCAGAGTCCTAATTATATATATATATATATATATATATTGAAAAAACAACTTTACCCTAAGTCATATATGCCTAACCCTTAACCTCACTTCAGACGGCACAAACAAAGGTGAGAGGTAGCAAGAAGCCAACCTTGCGAGAGAGATTGAAGGAGAGAACTACGGCGAACGATCAATGTGGCCGAGGTATTGTTGTGGATTTCCCTCCCTTTTCAATTCCTATCCTGTCTTTTCTTGCTTTAATTTTCTCAGAAATGCTCCCATTTGTGCCCCCTTATGAGTCTCCTCTGATCATGCTACTGTTAGTTTCTGATGCTCTAATATGAGTTTGATGTGCTTCATAGCAAGTTCTCTGATCAATCCATGCTCTTAAACCCGTCGAGTTTCATGCTCAAGTTCTTGCCGGACCATGATTAATTGCTGTTGTATTGCTTTGTATTGAATGTGAATTCAATTTTAATGCAAACCACGACGATATATCTATCCTTCAGTTGATGGTACTGAGGCGCATGAACACGTAATGTTGGAGCTGCCTTTTGTTTTCGTAGCCCATCGTAAATTTTGAAAATTAGGTGGGAGGGGAATCATGTTCTTATCATGAAAATAATTAAAAATATATTATAGAATAAGAATTATAGAAAATGACAATAAACTCCATCTGAATTATGTAAATAATAATTTGGTCCTTTAAAATGTCATAATATTAATGAAGTCCTTAAAAACTTTTTGTCAATAACTTTTTTTTTTAAAAAGATCATTTTATCTTTATTGATAAATTATGATTTTTTGTTCAATTTTTTCAATTTTTTTTAAAAGTTTTAATTCTTTAAATAAAAGTTGTGAATAGAGTTTATTATTTTAAAAATTGTTTTCAATAAAAAAATTACACTCAATAAATTATAATTTTTTATTCAACTCTTGTGATTTATAAAATAAAAGTTGTGATTTTGGTTTATTTTTCAATGACAGAAATTATATTTAATAAATTATAATTTTTCATTCAACTTTTACGATTTACAAAATAAAAGTTATGATTATTTAAATAAAAATTATGATTGTGTTTTATTATTTTCAGTAAGAGTAAAATAATCTTTTTTAAAATAAAGTTATTGATGAAAAGGTCTCTAGAGACTTCATTAATATTATAGCATTTTGAGAGATCAAATTATTATTTACATAATTCAATGAGATCTTATTATCATTTTTTTTAAGAATTATAACAAAGTATTTGAGAAAATTCTGAGGAAGGAGGAATCGGGACTTCGGCAAGCTTAATAAATTCTCAGGACATGGAGAAGCATTACGCAAAGGTATAACAAATGATAGTCAAATACTTCGGCAGTAAATTTTCTTGTTCTCAATCGTATCTCGTCAATTCGTTTGATTAGTTGGGAGGTTTTCTTTTTTCTTTTTAATAATTTTTCATTAAGGGAAAAACATTCTTTTTAATTAATTTTAAAATTCTAGAGTTTTTTTTTTATAGAAGAAATCATTGCGGTTTTATTATATTTATTATATGAGGTACTATCTAAATCTATATCTAATATAAAGGGGTAAAAAAAATAAAAAACTAAAATAGAGCTTCATTCTTGTATGGGCTGTAGAGGCCCAGGCAAGGAAATGGGCCAGAAAGGCCTCTCCAGTGGTGAATAGAATTGTAAGCCTGCTTTGAACATAAGAAATGATGATATAAGAGAAAATGTAGCAACTTGGAAATTTTTAATATATATATATATATATATATATAATCATTCACCTTCAATATTTGTCCAGAAAGAGGGTTCACATTTTAAATTAGTGCTTTAAATTTTACCTGATATTTCATTTATTTAATGTCTAATTGTTAATTTATAACAGTAATTTTTATTTAGAGTTAATTCATCTTAATAATAAAATATAAAAATATCTATTCACAAAATATACAAGAATTGTAAATTTTTTTAAATAAATAAAATACTTTTTAAAAGATAATATTGATTATTATAAAATAATTAATTAATAATTTTTTAAATTTTATTTAATCATCTTTTGAAAAGAAGAGTAGAATCGCGAAAGTAGACAACCTACCTTCTTTTTTTTTTTTTTTGGGACAAAACTTACTTTTCAATTGAGAAATTATTCTGCTTTGTGAGAGATCGATGCCATCGACGGCATCTCTTCTCCGGCGTCGGCCGAGTGTGAGCGAGCAATTGCTCTGGTTGTGCGTCTTAGTGTTAGTAGGGGTCAGGTTGTGTGGGTTTGCTGGTGATGGCGGCGATCTATTAAAATGTAGGATCGATGGTTCGGAGGATGATTGCATTTGGCGGAATCAGAATAGGACGTCGATATTGTCCGGATTTCAAACGGAGAACTTCATATAGGCAAACGATCTCAGATGGGTGCCACCGGGAACTATGAAGATGTTGGGCGATTTAAAGCTGGGAAGTATGAAATCTATGGCAGAAAGGGGGTTTTGAACGATGAGGTGGTGGTGGTGAAATCATGCTTCTCACAGGACATTAAGAAGACGATGGAAGGGTTAATGAAGCCAAGGATTGAGAGCTTAAGGATGGAGGATTTGGTTATGGCTTTCGAGATGCCAGCGACCCAATTCAATACAACTTATGGATCCTCCTCAATGCGGCTGCAGGTACATGTAGAAGTGATGATTTCTACTATTTGTTTTAGTAAACTCTCCCTCTTTTGCATGGAAATTGGGTTCCTTAAAAAATTTTCAGGACAATGTTATTAATTATTTTCTTTATTTTGGGGACTTGATGGCCGTGGATGAACTTTGGAGAGATTTTGTGGTAAGCTTAATTTGAATCAATGGAGGATGGGTTTTCTTTATCTGGTCTGGTATAAAATGGGATTTGATCGATATTTTTGGAACCATCTATGGATCTCTGGTATAGCCTTCACGAATCAATCACCCGAAGAGAAGTCTGCGCTGCTGGAGGGCATTAACCAGGTTTGGAAATCGTTTTGGATTCAGCATTAGTGGCCAGTCCAGTCTATTAGCGTAGAGCGATTTACTTTGATCTGATCTAACAAAAAGTTTTCAAATCCCTGATGCATCGGAAATAAAGAAATTTCTGGTCCAGTCAACTGAATAGTTCTGGTTTTTTTTTTCTTGCCTTTTCAAGTAGAAATTCCTGTAGAAAGATATTTTTCTCTTTTTATTTTTTTTTCCTCTGAGTTTATTATATTTTTATTTCACCTTTCTGTTTTATCTTTATATTTTTTCCTACTTGTTCTCAAATGGTTCTGAGGCTTTATAGTTTATATTGATCTTCTTACGTCACATTCTGATTCAACGATGCACTGTATAAACTTAATTATCAGTTGCCTAATGCAAGGTGCAAAGATAGATGTTGGTGATTGCTTTGCAGCCTTAATGTGTTTGGTTTACGAGTATCGCTGATAAATTCCTATCCAGTTTGGTTTTAACCCTTAAAGTGAATCAGTTGCGGAAGAATCTTATAATTACAAATCGAGAGGTTATTTAGAGTTGGACTTGATAGGAGAATCTTATCATAACAAATGTATGGTACATATGACAAACATGGTTGTGCCAAAATAAAGTGCATCGTAATTTATTTATTTATTTATTTTTTTGGGCCTAAAGGCTAAAGCACATCATTACATATTTTCAAAAGATACTATATGTGGGTTTATTAACAAGTTAAAATCTATTGTGTATCTCAGTTGCCAATTGAATAAATATCGTTCTTTCATTTTCTGTTTATATTCCATTTGTAGTATTTGGGAAATTTGTTTTAGCAAATATCTGAAATTCAGAAATTTACATGAACCTTGCGAGCTAAGCTGTCTTAATTTTTTTTTGTTTTTTGTGAATGAATGCTTTGTGTTTGTTTAGAACAACGCATGTGCTTTCTAGAGAAATGACAGGCCTTTGATTTGAAAAAGATATCCTTGCTCTGGTATTGGAACTTGTTTCTATAATGCACTCCTACTAGGCTTAGTGACATTTGTATCATTTGAAGCAGTGTTCAAATGTAACAATAGGGGTATGCTTTTCCAGTTTTCCTTTTCAAATTTAGACTCTTTGTCTTTGCGGTGCTCACAGCCCCCTTACTTGCATGCTGTGTGTGTGTGTGTGTGTCTTTTGTTGGCAAAATTTCTTCTGTGTGCACCTTTGAAAAGCTTGAAGTCCACTACATCATTCATTGCTTATTATGAATGCTTATATATAAATGAGTGATAATTGAGATTGATTCGGAGCCTTGAACATGAAATACAACGCCGCCTTATGTTTGGTTACATTAGTATATTTGGCCTACTAGACAAATGGTAGTATTTTGATTTAAAAGAGATGTCCTTGCTTTGGCATTTGACCACGAACTTTTAATGCACTCCTACAAGGTTCAAGGACAATTATATGATTTGATACCTAATCTAATTGTGCTTAAATATACTTAAAGGAGTTCCACTTTTGCTTTTCAACTTAAACTCTTCATGTCATTGATGCATTGTAGCCCTCTCACATATTTGCTAAATATATCTTGGTTTGACAGATTTCTTTTATAAGCACACTTGTAAAGATTCATGATCATTGCATCATTTGATGCTTGATTTGGATTCCCTTGTTATATTGTAAGAAAAATGGGATTGATTAAGATGCTTGAATGTGACATGCAAAGGTGTGTAGCTTTTCTTACATGCTTGTCTTTAGACCATTCAAAATATCATATATTGCTTATCTAGAAATATTAATATTTTGATTGAAAATAGTTGTCCTTGGTTTGGTATTCTAATTTTATATATGCAATGCACTTCTATGAGGCTCATTGATGTTTGTATCATTTGTTGCCTAATCTAAATGTGCATAAATGTAATCATAGAGGGTCTACTTTTTCTCTTCAGCTTAGACTATCTGTGTCTTTGCTGCTTGTAAACCCCTTACATGTATGGTTTGTATGTATATCCTTCAGTGGTAAATTTCTTCTGTATGCACTTTGGGAAAGCTTGATGCCCACAACATCATTCATTGTGTATTATGAATCATATATAAATGCAGGATAATTGAGATTGATTTGGAGCCTTGAATAGGAAATACAAAGTTGCCTTGTGCTTTTTACAAGTGGTGGTATTTTGATTTAAAAATGATGTCCTTACTATGCCATTTTTTTTACTTATGGACCTTTAATGCACTGCGATAAGGCTCAATGAAATTTGTATGATTTGATGCCAATATAAATGTGCATAAATATATTTAATGGGATTCTACTTTCTCTTTTTAGCTTAGACTCTCCATGTCTTTTTGGCATTGTAGTCCTCTCAAATTTTTTGCTAAATATATTTTTATTTGACAATATTTCTTGGAAGTATACTTTCAAAGATTATTTATCATTGCATCATTCAATGCTTGATTTGGTTGCCTTGGTTTGATTGTGCGAAAAGTGGGATTGATTAAGAGGCTCGAATATGACAAGTTATCTTATAAGCACACTTTCAAAGATTGATGTTCGATGCATCTTTTGATGCTTGACTTGATTGCTCTTATTCGATTGTGGGAAAAGTGGGATTGTTTTAGAGACTTGAATATGACAAATTTCTCTTCTAAGCACACTTACAAAGATTGATGATCGATGCATCATTTGATACTTGATTTGGTTGCTCTTATTTGACTGTGGGAAAGTGGGGATTTATTAAGAGGCTTCAGTGTGACAAGTTTCTCTTTTATTTACACATGAAAAGATTGATAATTGTCGCATCATTTGATGCTTGATTTGCTTGGCCTCGTCTGATTGTGAGAAAAGTGGGTTTGGTCATATGTTTTCGGACCCTTCGGAATATCATGTGGTTATCTAAAAATTGTAATATTTTTATTTAAAATTTATGGCCTTCATTTGGTATTCTAATTTATATATGCAATGCAGTTCTACGAGGCTCAATGACGTTTGTATCATCTGTTGCCTAATCTGAATGTGTATAAATGTAATCATAGGGGTCTACCTTTCCTGTTAACCTTAGACTTAGTGTCTTTGTAAACCCCTTACATGTATGGTTTGTATATGCATGTCCTTCAACGGCAAATTTGTTTTATGTGCACTTTTGAAAAGCTTGATGCTCACAACATCTTTCATTACGAATTATTAATGCTCATATTTAAATGTGGATAATTGAGAATGATTTGGTGCCTTGAATAAGAAATTAAAAGTTGCCTTGTGTTTCGGCCTTCTATACAAATGGTTGTATTTTGATTTATGATGACCTTACTTTGTCATTTTTCATTATGGACCTTTAATGCACTCCAAATAAAGCTCATCAAAATTTATATGATTTGATGCCAAATATAAATGTGCATAAATATATTTAATGGGATTCTACTTTCATTTTTTTTGGCTTAGATTCTCCTCATCTTTTTTGCATTGTAGTCCTCTCAAATTTTTGCTAAATATATTTTTTATGTGACAAATATTTCGGAAGCATACTCACAAAGATTATTTATCGTTGCATCATTTGATGCTTGATTTTGTTGCCTGGTCTGATATTGGGAAAAGTGGGATTGATTAAGAGGCTCGAATATGGCAAAGTTTTTTATAAGCACACTTTCAAAGATTGATGTTTGATGCATCTTTTGATGCTTTATTTTGTTGCCCTTATTTGATTGTGGGAAAAGTGGGATTGATCAAGAGGCTTGAATTTGAAAAATTTCTCTTATAAGCACACTTGCAAAGATCAATGATCGATGCATCATTTTATGCTTGATTTGGTTGACCTTATTCGATGTGGGGAAGTGGGGATTTATTAGGAGGCTTCATTATAACAAGTCTCTCTCTCTCTCTCTCTCTCTCTCTCTGTTTTTTTGATTGTAATGACAAGTTTCTCTTTTATTCACACATGAAGAGATTGATGCTTGTCTTCAGGCCCTTTGGAATATCATGTGGCTTATTTAAAAATTGTAATATTTTGATTTAAAATTTATGTCCTTGAAGTGGTATTCTAATTTATATATGCAGTGCACTCCTACGAGGCTCAATGGTGTTTGTATCATTTGTTGCCTAATCTGAATGTGCATAAATGTAATCATAGGGGGTCTACTGTTTCTCTTCAGCTTAGACTTTCCATGTCTTTGTTGCTTGTAACCCCCTTACATGTATGGCTTGTTTATATATGTCCTTCAATGGCAAATTTGTTTTGTGTGCGCTTTTGAAAAGCTTGATGCCCACAATATCATTCGTTACGTATTATTAATGCTCATATATAAATGCAGGATAATTGAGACTAATTTGAACCCTTGAACAAGAAATCAAAGTTGCTTTGTGTTTTTTGACATTTGTGTTTTTGGCCTACTATACAAACGATGGTATTTTGATTTAAAAATGATGTCCTTACGTTTTCATATTTCATTTTGGACCTTCAATGTTCTACAATAAGGCTCAATGAAATTTTTATGATTTGATGCCAAATATAAATCTGCATGAATATATTTAATGGAATTCTACTTTCTCTTTTTAGCTTGGATTCTCCATGTCCTTTTTACATTGCAGTCCTCTCAAATTTTACTAAATATATTTTTATTTGACAAATATTTCTTGGAAGCATACTAGCAAAGTTTTTTTTTCGTTATGTCATTTAATGCTTGATTTGGTTGCCCTTGTCCAGTTGTGGGAAAAGTGGATATAGAGTGGAATATTATGAGGTTCTCGTATAAGCACACTTTCAATGATTGATGATTGAAGCATCATTTGATGCTTGATTTGGTTGCCTTTATTTGATTGTGCGAAAAGTGGGATTGATCAAGAGGCTTGAAGATGACAAATTTCTCTTTTGAGCACACTTGCAAAGATCGATGATCAATGTATCATTTGATGCTTGATTTGGTTGCCCTTATTTGATTGTGGGAAAGTGGGGATTTATTAGGATGCTTCAATATGACATGTTTCTTATTTATTCACACATGAAAAGATTGGTTATTGTTGCATCATTTGATGCTTGATTTGATTGCACTTGTCTGACTATGAGAAAGGAGGGACTGATTATGATGCTTGAATATGACATGCAAATTTATGTAGTTTTTGTTTCATGCTTGTCTTTGGACCCTCCGAAATATCATACGTGGCTTATCTATAAATTGTAATATTTTGATTTTAAATTTATGTCCTTTATTTGGTATTCTAATTTATATATACAATGTACTCCTACAAGGCTCATTGACGTTTGCATCATTTGTTGCCTAATCTTAATGTGCATAAATGTAATCATTTGGGGGGTCTACTTTTCCTCTTAAGCTTAAACTCTCCATGTCTTTGTTAGTTGTAACACCCTTACATGATTGGGGTGCGTGTGTTTCCTTCGCTGGCAAATTTCCTCTGTATGCATTTTTGAAAAGCTTTGATGCCCATGGCATCATTCATTGTGTAGCATGAATGCTCATATATAAATTCAGGATAATTGAGGCTTGAAATGGAAATACAAAGGTGCCTTATTTTTTCTGACATTCATGTTTTTGGCTTACTGTACAATGGTGGTATTTTGATTTAAAAATGATGTCCTTACGTTGTCATATTTTTTTATGGACGTTCAATGCACTTCAATTAGGCTCAGTGATAATTATATGATTTGATGCTAAATATAAATGTGCATAAATACATTTAATGGTATTCTACTTTTTCTTATCAGCTTAGACTCTTCATGTCTTTGTTGCATGATTGCATTGCAGTTGTCTCAAATATTTGCTAACCATATTTTTATTTGACAATTTTGTTTTTTGAAGCATACTTGCAAAGATTATTGATCATTGCATCATTTGGTTCTTGATTTGGTTTCCCTTGTCTGATTTTTTGGGAAAAGTGGGATTGATTAAGAGGTTTGAATATGATAAATTTTTCTTATAAGCACACTTGTGAAGGTTGATGATCGATGCATCATTTGATATTTGATTTGGTCAATTGTTGGAAAAGTGAGAATTGATTAAGAGGCTTGAATATGACAAGTTTCTTTTTAAACCACACTTGAAAAGATTGATTGAATGTAACATGCAAAAGTGTAGTTTTTCTTACATGCTTGTCTTTGGACCGTTCAAAATATCATATGTTGCTTATCTAGAAAATATCAATATTTTGATTGAAAATAGTTTTCCTTATTTGATATTCAAATTTATGTTTGCAATGCAATCCTATGAAGCTCACTGACTTTTGTTTCTTTTGTAGCCTAATCTAAATGTGCATAAATGTAATCGTAGGGGGTCTACTTTTTCTCTTCAGCTTAGACTTTGTGTCTCTGTTGCTTGTGACCTGTATGGTTTGTTAATGCATGTCCTTCAGTGGCAAATTTCTTCTGTGTGAACTTTTGAAAAGCTTGATGTCAACAGCATCATTCGTTGGGTATTATGAATGCTCATATGTAAATGCAGGATAATTGAGACTGATTTGGAGCTTTGAACATGAAATATGTCTTGTGTTTTCTCACTTCGTATATTTTTCCTACTAGACAAATGGTCGTATTTTGATTTAAAATTGATATCCTTTTACATTTGACTGCAGACCTTTAATGCACTTATATGTGGTTCGGTAATGATTATATGACTTGTTCCTCAATCTAAATGTTCATAAATATTTTTATTTAATGTGGTTCTACTTTTGCTTTCTGCTTAAACTCTACTAGTCTTTGTTGCATTGTATCTCTCTCACATATTTGATTTTGTAAAACATTTTTATTTGACAAATTTCTATTGTAAGCACAGTTGTAAGGATTGATGATGGTTGCATCATTTGATGCTTTATTTGGTTGCCCTTGCCCATTTTTGGGAAAGGTGAGATTGATTAAGATGATTGAACATGACATGCCAATGTTCCCTAATTTTTCTTACGTGGATCTCTTTGGACCCTTTGGAATCTCATATATGGCTTATGTAATAATTTTTTTGGTATTCGAATTTATATATTAATATACTTCTACAAGGCATAGTGATGTTTGTAACATTTGATGCATAATCTGTATGTACATAAATGTAATTATAAGGGTTCACTTTTCCTCTTCAGCATAGACTCTCTGAGTCTTTGCTACTCATAGCTGATAGCTCCCATACTAACGTGCTACATATATGTCCTTCGTAGGCTAATTTCTTCTTTATGCACCTTTGAGAAGCTTTTTTTCCACAAATCATTTGTTACTTTTTATGAATGTTCATATATAAGTGCAGGATAGTTGAGACTGATTCGGAGCCTTGATTATTGAATAGAAAGCTGCCTTGTGTTTTGCTACATTAGTATATTTTGCTTGCAAGACAAATGATAGTATTTTGATTTAAAATTGATGTCCTTGCTTTGGCATTTCACCATAGGACCTTTAATGAACTCTCACGAGGTTCATTGACTATTATATGATTTGATGCTTAATCTAAATATGCATAAATATATTGAAAGTGACTTTACTTTTGCGTTTCAGTTTAATCTGTCTTTTTTTGCTTGTACTCCTTTCATATTTTTTCTAAATGTATCCTTATTTGACAAGTTCTTTTTGTAAGCACACTTGCAAAGATTGATGATCATTATATCATTTGATGTTTGATTTTGATGCCCTTGTCTGATTGTGAGAAAATTTTGATTGAACAAGAGGTCTGAACTTGACAGCAAGGTTATCTTAATTTTCATTGCGTGCATGTTTTCAAATCCTTCAAAATAGCAGATGTGATTTATTTTAGAAATGTCATGTATATCCTTATTTTACATGTTGCTCTTGTAAGCACACTTGCGAAGATTTATGATCAGTCTCATTCGATCCATGATCTGGATGCATTGTTTTATTGTGGGAAAATTGAAATTGATTAAGAGGTTTAAACTTGATACATGCAAACTGCCTTAATTTTCATCACATGCATGTCTTCATATCCTTCAAAAATGTTGCATATGCCGCTTATCTCAGAATTGACAATATTTTGATGATTTCCTTGCTTTGGTATTTGAATTTGTATATGCAATGAATTCCTCCTTTTCCTTTTCAGTTTGGACTTTCATGTGCTGTTTGTAGCCCCTTTACATGAGTGTCTTGGCAAATTGCTCATGTTTGCACACTTGTACAGCTTGATAACTATTGCATCGTTTTTTCGTTATTTTGAATGCTTGTATACAAAGATGAGAAAATTTTGACAAATTTGGAGCCATGAACTTGAAATACAAAGGTACGTTGTGTTAAAAATGATATATTTGGCCTACTAGATAAATTGTACTCCTACTCTTTTGATGCTTAGTTTGATTTGGTGGCATTTAGAATGTACTCCTACTCTTACGCTAAATATATTTGTTTGGCAAGTTTTTATTGTAAGCATTCGCACAAAGCTTGTTGACAAATGATGCTTAATTTGAGTTTCTATATGCGAATTTGAGAAATTGAGGATTGATTTGGTGTCTTGAAGTTGGCATGCAAAGCTGCTGTTGCCGTATCTTCCCATTCCATGCCATGCATTGTGTCAAAATGGTACATATGGTTTACTAGCAAAATCACTCTTTTGATTTGAAAACCGTGTCTTTGCTTTTTATTTGATGGCTCATAAATCATGTCTTTGATTTTTAAATGTGCATAATTATATTTATTAGGGTGTATTATACCCTTCGGCTATTGCATTTCTTGCTTGAACTGAATTCCTATATGTAAATATTTCAGAAGTTGGGATTGATTTGGAGCTTGAACTTGACATGCTAAGCTGCCATTACTTCCTGTTGATCCGTATTTACGTTTTTACCTCGAAAAATTTGTATGGATTGGAAATATATGATCCATTAAAATACCATAAATTGCTTATTAGAAATTACAATATATTGACCAATGAATGTGTAGCTCAACTGGTAATGGGTTGGATTGTGTTAACTGATGGTCTAAAATTCGAGTTTTGGGTATTCAGTTGTGTTAAATATTTGTTGAGAGTTTTGTCACCATTATATTCTGCCCGACTAGGCCTGTACAATATACTGATTTGAAATAGGTGTGTTGGCTTTGGTATTTGAAGCATTTGCAATCAGCTCTCCCTATATATATATATATATATATAATATCATCAACTCTTTACATCCCCCTTCACTCCTCTTCCTTTTCTAACCATAAGATTACCATTTAGTCTCTATTACTATCTATCTTTTTATTGTGTTTACTATAATTTTAAATTGTTCAAATTAAATTTTAACAGTTTGATTTTAATTCTTGACCTTTTTTTTTATAGTTTAACATTTTAGTAATAATTTTGTATGAGATCAAATTTAAACCATCCATATTTAGATTTAATAGTATGGAAGAAAGAGGAAGAGGATATAATCACCTCTCGTATCTTCAAGTTCCTTTTCCATTATGTTGTAGTCTGATGGGAGAGCAACCTCCCCACAAATACAATCACACATCCCCGCACATAATTGTATATAATTTTTTTTTTTCGTGATGATATTATTTATCCTTTTAATCATGATTTAAAACGTGCAATCTCAAATCTTATAAAATAATTCCTTCGGTGTTGTGTTTAGATTAATGAGAATGTTGATTTGGATTAAATTTTCTATTTAGGTACACAAAAATTTATGTATTTAAATTAAATATCCATCTTTTATTTTTTTAATTTATTTCACATTTTAATTATTTAAAATTTCATTTACTCCAAATATTTCATTCGATTCACATTTTCCCTATTAATGTTTTTATAACCCTTGTGCCCATCTTTCACTGATTGAAAATTTTATATAAATTTTATATAACTTTATGATTCCAATTTTTTTGCTTTTATTTAAAATATCAACTTGTCTCTTTTCTTCATTTAAAATTTTTTAAATTATTGAAACAAAAAATTTTAAATATATAAATCTTAAACATGAGATGTAAAATGTGAGATTTAAATTTAAAATACAAATTCATCAGTCAAAATGTTAGTTGATAATAAAATCTATTAATTTCCATAATTTATTCAATATTTTTATTTTATTATTTTTTATTCATCAGAAAATTCTCTTTTTTAAAAAAAAAAAATAATCTTTATAAAATTAGAAAAAACTTGTACTCCCTCCATTAAAAAATGTAAAGTATTTTTTAATTGAATTTCATTTCCCAATAAAGTAGTTACTTACTTTTTAATTAATTCTATCTTTTTATATTTATTTCTTTTAAATATCCTATAATAAACATAAAGTTATTATCAATAGGGGCACTTTTGAAAAAAAGGTAATGATTACATATAAAAAGATTAAAAATATTTTATATTTTTTAATATTCAACTCCTCAAAAAATGTTTTATATTTTTAAATGGAAGGAGTATACATTAATTTTATATATTTAAGGTATTTATTTTTAATTAAATGTATCTTTTAAAAATTATTTATAGTATAATAAATTTTTGTTATATCTTGGTTTTATTGCATAAAAGTATATTAAAAATATAAAATTAAGTATATAAATGTTGTTCCTGAAATCTTAAATTGTGTTTTTTATTTTTTTTGGTTAAAGTCCCGAGATTTCAAATTAAAGACTCATTAGCCCTGAACTTGGGTGAGCGCCGCCATATAATGAGTAGGTAACAAACAGATCTCAAAGAATCTAAGCCTTCATCCCCCATCTTCTCCACTTTCTTCCTGTTCCAACCACGACGGCGGAGCCACCGCAAGCCAAACGCCGACGGCGACATCTCTCGGTTTGGAGAGAGATGCCATTCCGATCATCACGGGGATCTTCTTGGTGATGATATCGAGCCCTTTGTGGGAGTTTGGCTCGATATCACCACCAACAAGATCCCCATTGATGATCTTGCAGATAGAGAGAGAGAGAGACGATTTGGCATACGCGTGTGTGTATATATAGGGACAGAAATTTACAGCAGTCAGCAAACTGTCCTCCACAAAGCTTATCTGTACATACGTTATCCTCATGCCGTGATTTTCGGGTCTCAGCAAATTAATCCCTGTAATTACGCCTTTGATTCAGCAGCTCTCCGTATTATTATTATTATTGTTTATTAATTGTTGGATGTCAGATTCAAAAATCATGAGTTTAATTGGAAAATAATATTTACTGGAGAGGATTTTTGTTTTTAAAACAGATATTGGAGAGGATTTTAAATGAAAAAATTTCATATATGTTCTATAAAAAAAATTTAATTATAAATAAATTTCACAAAAAATTGATAATGTGGGCAGCCTATGAATTATGGGCTGGCTCACAAGAGGTTGTGGAGTTGACAGTGTGGGTTGGCATTTCATGCGGCGTCATATTTTTACCAACTCATTCTAACCTATCAGTAAAACATATATATATATATATATATATATATTAGTTTTAAAAATTACAAAATCATCTCTTTTTATTATTTTTTTGGCCATGAGAAAATGATTTTTTTAAAAAATTAATTATTCAAATAACAAGACCCTTTTACATCATTAAAAGTTCAATTTCAAAGTAATTTTATATGTTTAAATTTTTAAAAAGTAGGAAAGACAAGTATTAAATAGTAATAAAATAATATAATTAATGAGTAGCTTTTTGTGCTTATTAATTTTTTTTTTTAACTTTTTGTGCTCATTAATGTTCCTTCGGCTATCTACGTTATCACTTATCAGTTATGTTGCTGCCAGTCCGAAAGTGGGATGTGGGTCTCAACGGCTCAGTGGAAGATGGGGCAAGGAAATGTAACTTCGTTTCTTTCCATTTTGTTACTTTTTCTTAAAAGAAAATTAAAAGAGAACGGCATTAAAAAAAATTATGGAAGTGAAATATTTCAACCAAGATTTACTTATATTATATAAATACTGTTATATTATTTAACGAATACAAATTCTTTGAAGAGTGCAAGGTAGATTATGCTAATCGGTTTCAGGCCAAAAAAAAAAAAAAAAGATTATGCTAATCGGCAATAACATCATGCCATGTAACAAGGAAAATTTCTGACTACAAGGTTAATATTTTGAACAGTTTTAAACTTAATTTATATAAAATATTTTTATTTTGTTTTTACTGTAATTTTAAATTGTTTAAATTAAATTTTAATAATTTGAATTTAATTATTTATCTTTCTAAAATAATTTAATATTTTAATAATAATTATACAATAAATTAGATCACAAGTTAAACCGTCAAAATTTTGATCCAATTATTGAAAAGCAGGGGGAAACAAAGGGAACGACAGGGGAACAGAAGAAGAGGAGCAAAGAACCTCTCCCGGCTATGTACTTTATGAAAATCCGTGCATGGTGCAGAACAGCTAAAATTTATATTTAATATTTATATCATCAACAAATTTTTACGTGGGAAAAAAGGTTAAAAAGAGAAGACATTCTTTTTCGCCCAAGACAATATTAAGAGAGAGAGAACTTATTCAAATTCAATACTGTAAAACATGAATGCAAGTCTGCAAAACGAAGCATAAGTCAACTAAGCAGAACCACAATTAGTAGCTTGACTCTCCTACAAAATGTTCGGATCAGGTATTACTTAGAAGATGGATTTAAAAAATTCTGAAGGTACTATAGATCATTTGGTCCACACATATATACAGTTTCTTTTCTACAACTTAATGAAAAAAAAGTGCTTCTCTTGGAGTTGTACTGCCCCTTTTTTTGATTGATTTGAACTTTCTCTGATATCAACTTAATAAGGAAACTTACAGCATCAAATGAACAGGAAATCAAGTTCAATCAAAACCAACATGCGAGTTTCTAGTCCATCTAGGTATTCAGCAATGCATGAGAGACTTCTTCAACAATACTTTTGATAACCTCAGAATCACTCCTGCACAATTACAAGTGTCCATTAATAATTAACCATAAATTAATCAAGTCATAATTTGAATACAACATTTATAACTTGAAAGTTGTGTTCACAAGCAGTAAAAGTGACACGATTTATTACATGCAATAATGTCTCAAATTCTTGAATTTTAAATGAGTCAAGGATGTGGTTTACTTAATTAGCTGTATGCTTTTATTAAAACAATTCTGAAGAAAGTCTTGCTAGTGTAATTTGTCGAAAGAGGAAACATAGAAATTAAAGAACCAGAGACATATACCTTTTGTTTGTCCAAAAACCAGACATGTTGGCTGCTTCAGACAAAGCCAACCTCCACTTTTGCACCATTTTCATGTCCATATTATAGAATTTGGCTATATCCCTTGATGCTTTTCGATGTCCTCTTCTTTGACGTTGTATATCTGAAGGGGATACATTGTAGTAAACTGGAAAAACCAACGTGCCCTTTGTTCTCATACAATCAAGGCTCTTAACAAGTTCCTCAAGACACCCCATGGAAATTGCGTAGTTTTTAGAGAATATAATTATACAACTCCTAGAGTTTTCAATTACTTTAAGGGCAAATGGGTCAACATTTCCCCTCCTTGGGATGCCGTAAACAAGATTGAATGTATTTATTCCGCATGCACGTAGAGCATGATTCAGAGAGCTCACTAAACTTGTTGCATCTGTGCTTATGAAACTTACAAAGACATCATATCTTTCTGCAGAGAAAAGGAAAGTTGATGTAATAGCCGTTGTTGCCAATATTCATAGTAGATACAAGTTTATGGGCAAATATACTAGAAATAATTCCAGTAATTAACGCGGTCTTCATTTTTAGTCAGTGAATAAACACGTTACACAACCACTATTGGGAGAAGTACTTTTTACTTCGATTTAAAAGGGGTCATCAAAAATTCCAATGTGGAAAGTTACTTTTTTTTCAATGTCCTGTTTGTTTTCCAGTACATTCATAATTTAATTGATGTGGAAATAATGTTTAAAGTCTTTTGCTTATTATGGTTTTTGTCACCGCCCCCTTTTTTTTTTTAACCACAGTTTTTAACATAACTGACGTTAAAAGACGACGCAAAGTAGGGTTTTTGTAGTAGTGAACTTAGTGTTCAGCACTAATCATTATCAGTAAACTCTGAATTTCTTGAGTATCCCTCTCACTCTAGGCTTTTGTGTCATTTACTATGGAGACCACTCCCTTTGGTCCTATATATATATAAGTCATCTTTCAGAAAGAATTGATAGTCCTTTTTATAATTCACTTTGCATAAGGTGGATTATTAATTACTTTATTCCAATTTATCTTGCACAAATTAAATTTGCTATCAGGTTACAAATGAAAATGTTTTTAAATATGTTCTATTCAATAGGGGTAAATAAGAAAATTTTTTAGACAACATTAATAATTTAACTACTTGGTACTTCTTGGTTAAAGTAATTAGTGGATACTTATATATAGGATTAATTGGAGGGAGAGTAAATAATTAGATTCAAGTTAGTCATCACTCGTACGTGTAAATGCAACCATCAGTGGTCGACATAAGATTTGCTAAGTGAGATTTAGGGCGTGTTTGGTTTTTGCTTTTAAAAATTGTTTTGTAATATAATTTCTAAAATTGTTTTTCAAAAAAAAATAAATTAAAATCTGTTTGGTTGTATCAATTAAAAAATAATTTTAAAATTAAAAAATAGATTAATAGTGATGATTATAAGTTGTTAATACTGGTAGTTAATAACAAAAATTGGTCAAGATAATTGTAATTTTTAATAATCAAATGTAGTGTATTTTAAAAACAATAAAAGAAAATGAAAACAACATGAAGTTGTTTCTATTTTTTTGTTTTAAAAACAAAAATGAAAATGGTTTTGAAAACAATTAAATGAAAAACACTTATCCAAATAAGTTTTTAAATTTTTCTATTTTCAAAAATAAAAAACAGTTTTTAAACAAAGAGGCCCTTATGCACTCCATATATACTCTATATTTTCTTGATATGCCATGTCTTGCTAGAAAGATTTGATGCAACTACACTATTTAGTTTATGCTTATTGTTAAACTGGGATGCAATTTGTTCTCCAATCACATGTTGCTCTATTATTTTTAGGAACTAGTATGTGGCTCGTGCAATGCACGGTAAATGAAATAAATGATTGTTAATATACATACTAGGGTTTAAGGTATATTGAGACTTAACTTTTAAATTAAAGTTATTGTTTTTGGTAGACTAAAGTTATTTATTTTGTTTACATAACAAAATATTCAACTGATTAGCATTGTCTAAAATAATTATAAAAATCAATAATTTAACTTTGTGTAAAGAGTTTGATGATTTATCTTGATTTTTTTTATTACCCAAAGAATCATCACACCATTACTAGTAACTATGAGACTAATTCCTTAAGAAATTTGATGGCCATTTAAGGAGTTGTTTTCTCCTAATAAATGCTTTAGGTATGCATAAATTTAACTTTTGAATTTACATTAGTAATTATGTGATTATGTCTATCTTTTGTTTTTCTTTTCAATTATGTGATTATTTATATTTATGGCAATAATAATAATAATTTGCAAATATTATTGTCCTTTATGACTAATTTACATTTGCAAAATGATACATACAAGATACAACTATATAAGAGCCTCTCTCAAATTTATTATGACCACTATATATCGTGTTATATCTTTTAGGTTCCTTATCATCTCAAAATGGCTATTAATTAGGGCATGTTTTGTTCACTTATCAAAAAATTAAAATAGAAATAATCTAGGTGAAAAGAAATGTTATTGAACATATAACCTCTTAAAAGAATACAACAAATAAATTGGTGGATTGTAGTATAGAAAAATCTACAGAGTAGTAAAACAAAAGCAATATAGAACATAAATGATTGAAGCAATTTGGAATAATATAATCTCGTAACTCATCAACTACATTAGCGCTCTAACTATCAAAAATAGTTAGCACATGATAATCTAGTTGGTTGAACCAAAAGAAAAAACAATAAGCTCTCAACTTTATTTTTCCAATTATACACAGAAATTATGCAGCAGTTAGAGATAATTAAGGGTGATCTAATTAAATAGACTCCATAGACATTATGTTTAACTTTTAAGCAAAGCTGTGGAGCTAAAATCTATGGCATGCAATACCAAGGCAAGGAACTCACATAAACTTTAGCAAAAATTCTTTTCTTGAGATCCCACTTAAACATCAACAACAACAACAACAACAAGCCTTTATCCCACTAAGTGGGGTCGGCTACATGGATTGCAAGACGCCATTGTGCTCTATCATTTATTAAGTTTTTAGAAATATTATTAATTAAGAGATCACGTTCAACAACTTCCAAGAGTGTTCTCTTAGGCCTTCCTCTACCTCTCTTAATCGGACTTAAAGTTATATGTTCCACTCTTCTCACTGGTGCCTCTCTTGGTCTTCTTTGTACATGCCCAAACCATCTCAACCGATTTTCTACCATTTTTTCCTCAATAGGTGCCACCCTCACTTTTTCACGTATGTGCTCATTTCGAATTTTATCTTTACGTGTATGTCCGCACATCCATCGTAACATTCTCATCTCTGCTACTCCAATTTTATGCTCTTGCTGTCCCGTTAGAGCCCAGCATTCACTATGTTTATAGCCGGTCCCAAGCCCGGGTAAAGGAGGAGGGTTGTGTTAGGCCATCAACAGCCAATGTAAAAATTTGTTGAATCTATCATGAACATGGACAATCCCACTTAAACATCATGTTTACCAAATCTATAGCACTGTCTAAGATGATAAAAAACTATTTAGACTCAAAATCTATGACTCTATTTGAAATTTGCATAAAAGTTCACAACTCAATTTTACAAGTAATAAGAAAAAGTAAGTGTAGTTTAGATAATATAAAAAAAAATTCACACACACACACACTACATATATGAAATCTCATATATACAATAAAATCATTAATTACCAGCCCAAAATGGTAGGACCACACCCCGTAAGATACATAGAATAGCACCAGCACTACTATTCCACACACTTGCTTTTGGTCCACAATGCCTGCACAACACCTCATAAACAATCTAATAGGCACCTCTAACCACATTATAAAACTCTTAGGCCGATGGGAGAGGAGATGCATAGAAAAAGTAATGACCGGTCATCATAATAAACTGAGTTATAAAAGGAAAATTTCAATAAGACAAATCCTTTTTCTCCTTATTGCAATCCTAACAGATTTTACATATATAAGAAGCTAAGAAAAATATGGCTTTACTCCTAATCTTGACTTTCAGTAATGCATACACTACATATGGCATTTGGTGAAAGTGAATAAAACTTGATGAAAATTATGAATACATACTAACAAAATATATTTTTTGGCCAGCGCACTAATAAAATATGTGAACAAATAATAAGAGAAACAGTAATAAACACAAGTTCTATGCCACATATAGGATGAAAATGGCTTGAGGATGACAATAAGATAAAGTAGCCTGTAAAGACTTTCATCATAACAAAAGTGGCTACTGTGTAATAGGGATAATGTTGGTCATGCTAAAATTACTGAGATATATTCAACATTGTAAAAGTGGCAGCGAGTGCATCTCCTCTTTTTTATTCACTGCAAATGTAATTGCAAATTCCTCTTCATCATGTGTTCTCTTATCTCCTTTACCATGTTTCTTCTTCCTTTTATTTTGGGCTTTAGGCAACGTGGATCATTCAATTCCCCCCAAATGCTCCAATGACAACAATTTTATTATAATAATGGGAGAGGAGGAAGGTATAATAATGATTGAGAAAGTTAATGATGATATGGAGGTATTTAAGGAGACTGATCATGGGAGGAGAAGTTGTGACCCACGTTTTCATCCATTTGCTAACTGGTAAATGGTAATTGCTCTCACTACTCCAATATTTCTTAGCAAGAAGCAGTTATGGAGGAGCTAATTAAATACAAACTAAAACAATAAATTATGAGTAAGAAGTTGGGAAGTTAGGATAATGGAGAGATTTTTGGAGATAAGGAAGTTACACATATTTACTTGTAATTTTTAGATTTTAAATTAAAAATTGAAATTGTAAATAAATTAATAGAAAGTTAGGATAATGAAGAGTACTTGTTGTGGAGTAGTTTTATATTTATTTTTTATTTATATTTAAAAAATAAGAGCATAAATGACAGCATTCTAATTTTATATGTACATAATTCAGTTGATTTAAAATGTTATACTATTTATCATAATAAATAATATATTATTTATCATTATTCTTATTTCTATCTTGCCATGATCTCTTATTTTTTAAAATTTAAATGTTTAAAATAGGAATAAGATTAATGATGGGAGAGTGGGAGAGATGATGAGAGAGGAATGAGGAAAAAAACTGAATAAAGATAAATCGGTGTTTAAAATAGAAATATAAATTATGAAAGTAAGTTAATAGAATCAAATGAAGCTGATGTGGCATTTTGTACTTGCAGCAATTTGAAAATAGGACACATGTCAAGCTTGGAAGGGAGCTTGCGGTTTTACTTATATATATATATATATATATAGATATTTTGGTACTTCTTGCTTGGTTTGATTACTTATTGCAATGTGATTAGAATTAACAATTTAAAACATCTAAATAATTTGTAATAAAAAATGGCTAAAAAATGAGAGAATCACTATTACAAAAAGGACCTAGGGAAACATCCTTATTGGAGTGCTTATGAGGGGGCAAAAAAAAAAAAAACTTTTAAAAGCACATAGAAGCGGAACTTATGGAAGCACTTCTATGAAATGGATTAATCCAAGGAGACGATGATCCTAAAATATTTTGTAAGCTAATCATGTGCTTCAAGAGACATATACAATAACAATAAGTCATATTCCATTAGGCGAAGTCAGCACAAATTAAAGGACACATATAAAGCTGGAAAACAAAAACAGCCAAAAGTATATAGTTGAGTTAAATGCAGAACAGCCATGCAAAGTAGAACATGCATGTATAAAACAGGGGAAATAATACTGATGGAAATGCAATAAGGATAGTAAAATACCTGGTTCCGTGAACCGAATATTTTCCAACCTATTTTCTTGTTTGCATACATGAACTCCCAAATTAATTTTTCTTTCATGCTGCCTTTCATGTGTATTATTATCGACGGAAACAAACACTTCATTCCAATCACGTGCTTGGGAGAATTCAGTCTTGTGAATAATGCTGTACAGGTCACACAGATATATATGATCACCCTTTATTGTTGATACTGATGAGAACCACTCTGAAGGAATATCTTGACGAGAGACATTTACATGCACCGAGAATTTAAAGTCGAACAGAGAATCCTGGACATCTTTAACAAGTATCCAAATAAGAATCACTGGGAACTCTTTACGGATCCAAAAAGATATTGAGGTATCTTCAGTACTAACTATGTCGAGCATTTCTGGGAACTTCTTGTCTGGAAAAACAAAGTATCTTTTACCGTGTTGATCGTAGATTGCCTGCCAATTGCATTTTATACCACAAAAAAAAAAAGAATATAAATACTGTAAGTGTAAAAAAATAATTATATATTATGATTATAGAAAGGAAAAGATATCGGTACCTGATTCAATACTTTGCTTTTTGATGACTCAGTCAATGATGTGCAACATATAGCACTAAATTTTTCTAGGTTTGGTGGCATTCCTGAGATATGTTTAATCTCCTTGCAATGATCCAGGATAAGATATCTCAAACAGTAACATTCTTTGATGCACGCTGGAAGGACTGTGAAGTTATTACAACTTAGATCTAAATATATCAAGTTTGGGAGGTAATAAAGACACAGAGCAAGAGAACCATTTGACAAATTGCAATTTGAGAAATAGAAGTATTCCAATTTCAGAGATGCTGTAGAGTGGTCTAAGCTTGCTTCGTCTCCAACTTCACATTTCTTGAAATATCTCATTCCCTCACAAGAATTTGCTCTTAGTGTGCATAGGTTTGGCAACATAAAAATGCTAGCTGGTAGTCGCTTAAGATGATGACACTCTTCCATGTTTAAGATTTCAAGCCCGATGAGATTGCAAATTGAGGATGGCAATTCTACAATGGACGTCCTATCCAAATCAAGCATTCTCATCTTTGTCATTTTCTCTAATATTTTTGGAAAATGTTGAAGACTTGAGCAACCAAAGAGGTTGAGATGTTCAAGAGATGTCAACCTAAGGCCATATGGTAAGATCCTCAAGTTTTTGCATCGCATGGCACTCCATTCTCTCAACTTAGTTAGAAGTCCAACTGAATTATGAATTTCAATTAAGTTTGTACAATCATCAAGACATAATACGATCAAATTGGAAACTCCAGATAAGTTTGGTATACACTGTAAAAATTTACATCTTTTAAAATTCATATGAGTTAAGTTCTCGTACTTCTGCAAAACAATGATAAAAAGTTATTTTTAAAGAATAGAAGAAGAAACAAAGAAACATAGTTCTAATAACACTTACCTTATCAAAGGGTTGGAGTATTTCACAACAACTATTGGACAAATCAAGATAGACAAGTTTGTTGGACAAAAGTTATATGGTAAAATTTTGAAGTGATAATCCTTCCATTGTAACACCCTTAAACTATTTGGGAGATATTTGGCACCTCGAGAAAAGAATGCATTTTTCATCATAAGAATTCTGAGGTTTTTCATCTTCATGAATGCTTTTCCACTCCATTGTACTTCTTTACCTTTGGGTGAGTCTAGAATTATGGCTTCAACATTCTTAGTTCCCTTTCAAAATGAGAAGCACACAAATAAATTTCAAATTTTAGACATGTTCAAATCATGATAAAAAAATTTTAAAGGAGAAAATTTTGATGTTGGTCTTACGGTATTTTGTTGTAAGACATGAAAAATATCTTGATAGAACCATAACCTACTGCGCCTGCCAGGTTCATTAGGTGATTCTTGTCGAACAATTTCTTTACCCATATCTTCTATCAAGTCGTGCATTGTTACATGATCTCCTTCAATCTTTATGAGGGATTTATCAATCAAAACTCCAATAGCATATTCTGGTTGGATTCCACGAGAACATAGCAATATATCCCTGATATCTCTTAATTTCTCACCATTGAAGAAGCAAGCCAAGTCAAGGAAAACTTTCTTCCCTTCTTCCTCTAAAGCATCATAGCTTAATTTAAGGACCTCCAAAACACTTCCATGTGGTATTCTTTCAAATTGATCCAATGCAAAATTCCATTCGTTGACATTCTTACCACATAAATTAGAACCAATCACTTCTAAAGCTAAGGGAAAGCCACATGAGTAAAGTATTGCTCGATTGGAAACCTCTACATAGTCGATCTCCACATTTTCCTTTTTAAAGGCGTACCAATTAAGCAATTGAAGAGATTCCTCATCATCTAATTCCTTGACATGATAGATGCTTTGGACCTCATGGCTTACTAACAATTGTTTATTCCTTGTGGTGATTATGATTCTACTTCCGGAACCAAACCAATCACATCTTCCAGCTAGTGCTTGTAACTGTTTCGATTTGCTAATGTCATCAAGAATCAAGAGAATCTTCTTCTGATAGAGCCTATGTGCTATTATTGGTATTCCTTTATTCATGTCACCCAATTTGAGATCTTTTTCCATGACCAATTCCTTGAGTAATATCTCCTGAAGATGTGACAAACCATTTGACGATTTAGACTTCTCTCTTATATTAGAAAGGAAACATAAGCCTTCAAAATAATCAGCAACTGAATTATACACTGCCCTTGCAATAGTTGATTTACCTATTCCACCAGCTCCCCAAATTCCTACCATTTTAATTTTCTCATTTGACCAAAGATCTAAAAGTGAAGTTACTTCCTTTACTCGAGATGCAAGTCCAACTGGATAATCAGTGACATGTAAAGGAATACGGCTAATTCTAGTAGAGACTTCACTAGTGATCCTTGTAACATAATCTTTTTCTTCCGCAATCCTGACCAATTTTTACGAATTCATGTTTAGTTAGATTACAAACTACGATATATATATATATATATATATATGCTTTTAGAAATAAAAAATTGACGCCCCCCCATTCCTCTCAAGTTTCTCAATCATAAGATTAGTACCTCATTCCTCACACAAAGGATTAAATATGTATCTTTTCTGAAATTATTAGTGCTTTCTTATCAGAATGATCCTTGAGAAAATAGTTGCGAGGGAAATCACAAAAAAATGGTGGGAAAATTGTTTATTAGTTTATTCAAATTAATTATGTTCTTAATAATTGAATATGGCAGTTTTACATATGGGAAATAAAGTCACGTAATGAAATCATGATTTACAAATGCCCTTTTGAAGATCATTTTTGACAAGAAATTGTAGATTAAACAATGCAAGAACCAAACAGGCCAAGTTTTCATTTTGCATCTTGGAATTTAAGGTCATGTGTTAAAATTAATTATGCCTAATTAGGGCATTCTGTTTAATATAAGTATGAAAAATAATACCTAAATAATAAAAAAAAGCAAAAGAGTGAAAATATATTACTTGGGTTTTAGATGAAAGCCTTTCAAGTTAGCAGCTTGGAACAAAGCCAATCTCCATTTTTTCACCTTCTCGTGATTGTCTTTGAATCGTCTCTCTAGTCTCGCCAATGCTTTTGCATAGCTTCCTCTTGGACGTCGAAGCTCCGATGGATCCACATAATAAAAAATTGGATATATCAGCCGCCCTTCCTCCTTGAAGCACTCCAGAATCTTTGCAAGTTCTTCCAAGCAAAAGGTCGAGTTTGCAAAGTTTTCAGAGAAAACCACGATCGCTATTCTTGATTCTCGTATGGCTTTGAAAAGTGCAGGTTTGATTTCTTCTCCAGTTCTGATGCCTTCATCATCAATGAAGACATGAATTCCTCTTTGGCGCAGAGCCTCGCGGAGATAGCCAATGAAACCTAAGCGAGTATCTGCACCGTGAAAACTAAGAAACACGTCATAAGTCCATTTGTAAGTGAGGGAACAAGATCTTGCTTGTTGTGCCATGATAATCTTATCAGACTCGCAGAGCTGAATTAAAATGGCAGAAGTGCAGAGCAAAGAAAGAACCAATAAGATCGAACCCCACTGGAATGAAATCTCACGGAACTGAGTGCATGATCTTAGTGGAATGATTAGAGATTAAAACAATGGCGGAAGCGTTGAATAAAGCAAGAAGAGATCTCCCAGGACTGGAAAGAACGAAGTGTAGTATAATAAGCAAAAGTCATGTCAAAGTATGATCACGAAGCTTCCGCCATATTTGATAATAGATATCCCTTTTTATAAAATGGCATTACATTAATAAAATATATAGGAAGGTGGGGAACACGTAACGCGTAACGGGGAATTTTTCCATGGCTCCAAATGCAAAGCCATCGGATTTATATTATGAAATTGCAGGTGAAAAGCTTATTTGTTAAGTTAATAGACATAGTTGACTTCTAATTTTTTATTATTATGTATCAAACATAATAACCATAAAAATAACAGAGATAAAATATTTAGATTCCTTTTACATGAGATTTTAAATAAATTTAATTAATTTTTTTAAAAAATAGAATAAATTAAAGTCATGAATAATACGGCACGTTGTATTTCTCAATTTAACGTCATCGCATATCCATTCAGTAGTCAACACACGTCTAGTTAATTAGTAAATAAGCTACAAACATTATGGCACTAATATCTGATGTGGCACCAACAATCATCAATTTTTTTATTTATTCCCACAGTCATTTTATATGTGTTTTAGAATCTAAATTGTTCAATAAGCACTAAAGTTTGTCCTTATTTTGATAATTTGAGTATTCATAACTTCCAGGAACCTTCATCATATTTCCTTTTAATTTAATAATGTTTGGGCTAAAATATAAAACGTCGCTAAAATAGGTTACAGGGTTAGTTGGATTGAGTAACTAAAGAGTTAGGCTCAATCTAAACAAAGGGGCCGGCCTCAAAGTTCAATAAAAGCTACGATAAAATAAATATGCCGAAATCCTATCAGTTACAAACATTGGATCGTTGGCATATGAAGACACGATCCCAAGTAATTTTGAAATCCACGAATATCATGCCCAAGTATCTTGGTGAAATGGATTGATTACCAAAAATAGAGAACACGGAATAAAGACCGTGCCATGAGTTTTGCAAGATATCTAATTCCTTGGCAAAACGTTCTAGGTCTTAAGGAAAGGCTACCATTACTTTGACACTATAAATAGAAGATGAAGACACAGAAGAAAGGTAGTCAACACTCAATCAAAGACTTACATTTTTACACCTTTAACCTTTAGTTTTATCAGTTAGTTTTACTTTCAATCTAGACTTGTAACATTTCGCATTTCAATAAAAATCAAATACTTGTTCTACTAAAGCTTTGTGTATCTTTTACATTCGAGTGAACTGTGACAAGGGAGCTCGAAACACTTTTGTTATCAATTGAGACTCAGCGCCTCTGGCACGCTTGGTATTGGTTGTTCATAACGAATAATTCTTGGCACACTCAGTGAGACCTGTGTAACAAAGATAGTAAGGACGAGAAAAGACAAAAGAATTAATGAAACAGGTTCTGGTTCTCACAAACTAGAAGGGACCTTTGCACATGCAGGATCAAAATACTTAGCTCTTGATGTTGAAATGGCTGAATATCGTAAGCACCTAGTGCCGGTGTCGATAAGTAACAGCAGCACAAGCCCTAGCTCAAAGCTAGGAAGTAGACAAGCTAACCCACTGTTCATATCAATGGTCTTATGGCAGAAGTGTTGTAGAAAATTCAAGACCAGATGGATAAGTAGCTGGAAGAGAACTAAAGGTTCTTTGCACTATCCCTGGAAACGTCATAACACAAGGAGAAAGAACAATAGCAAATCATGATGCATGCTTTGCATGATGGCATGAAGAATATAGCCATATAATTAAAAAACACTCTTCTTGAAGTAGGCTCAAATTTAGGGCCGCATGGAGGGTAGCAAGCAAGAATCAATATAAGTGCTGGCCCTCAGGGCTGCCTACTTATAAGGGACATCCCTAACCCTCAACTTTTTACTAACACTAATCTTCTGACTAATCTGCTTTATTATTTACAAGAGCTTAGCATAAGCGGCTGAGGGGCATGGCAATAGTCCTAGAGCGTTAGAACGAGCCTCTTAACTGACTAATGAATATGGAGGCCTTGAGGGATGCTATCCAAGATATATACGAACTAGGGTTGAGGTCAATTGGCTGCCCTACCTTCTCAAAGCCATATCTGGAGTACATAGATAGGGACAACCCATACCCTTAGGGATGTAGGATCCTTGACTTCATACTATTCTCAGGAGATAGAACGTAATCCACCTTGGAGCACATTAGGAGGTTCACAATTCAATGTGAAGAGATGGCCAATTATGAGAAATTTGCCAACTTAAAATTGAGACTATTCCCTAATACTCTCATGGGCCTGACATTCACATGGTACACGTCACTACCTCACAACTCAATCATCAGCTAGATGGAAATGGAGTAGAAGTTCCATGTTTAGTTTTACAAGGCAGAGCTAGAGGTTAGCATAATAGAACTCTACAAGCTTACCTAATGGGCTAGAGAGATGGTAGACCAATACCTGGTGAGGTTCAAACGACTGAGGATCAGGTGCCATGTGCCACTTTTAGAAACTGAATTCGTCAAGCTGGCATAGGCAGGACTAGATATAGAGCTTTAAAAGAAGTTCTAGGGGATGGAATTTTAAGATTTCTATGAGCTCGCGGGTAAAGTATGGGGATATAAGGAGCTGTTCAAAAAAGAGGATCCTCATCGACGGATTATGGTAGGAACCTATTTTGGTGACCTTGATGTAGCAATGGTAGAATTAAAAAATGCTAGCAACTATACATGCCCGACCCTTATAAGGAATGCTGGAGAGATTCTCAAAAGGCCAAATGCCATTCAGTATACCTTTGACACCACCAAAATAGATGAGATCTTCAATTTCCTCCTCAAAGAAAACTTGATTTCCCTACCCGCTGATCATAAAATCCCTTTAAAAGAAGAATAGAGAGGGAAGGAATGCTATAAGTACCATCACTCATGGAGTTACAATACCAAGGCCTATTGGGGCTTTAAAAACGTCATCCAGGACCGAATCAATAAGGGAGTTCTTAAATTCCTTAAGGAAAAATCATGGTCATAGACAAGGACCCATTTTCACCATTTGCTATAGTCAATATAGTGGAGATAAACTCTTGTAGACGATGAATTGGGAGAAATGATGGTAAGCAGATAGATGGGAGGTGTTGAATGAATGTAACAGGAAGGAAGTAACTCAAGAAAGCTCAAGAATAGTGTGGGATTGCTTGGAGAAACCTACGGGCTGGTCCAACAGGAACACGTCTTCTTCTTGGTGGGATGTTGGCTCGGAAGGGCAAAGCTTAAAGAGCCCGTACAACTCTAAGGTGGTTTAGGACTACTTGGGAGAAACCACAGACATCAACAAATAGAAAAATGTAAAGAAGAATGGTAAATGACCTTCAGGATGAGATATTGGCCACGAGAGATTGATAATGACAGAGCTAGATAGGTCTAAGGTGGTCAAAGACCGTCTGGGGGAGCCATCTGGCAAATTCAACTTCTTTATTAAGTACTTAGCACCACCAAGAGTAGGTGAATCATTCATTGGAACACCAACAGGTTAGGATATAGGCCTTGACAGCCTACCTTTAACACTACTAACGCCATCAGAAAGAACAACAAAGCTTCCTTCAAAACCAAAAGTCGCTAAGGGCTCGGGTAGGTTTATTACACTACCTAGCAACGTATTACCTTTAAAATGAAGAGTCGTGAGGCATAAAAATTTCTCAACTACCTTAACCAGGACTCAGAAGTGATAGCTTTAGCAAAAAAAGCTATACATAGATACCTTGAGCAGTAGAAAATTGAGGTATAGGAAGGCCCTGACGTGCAGGAAACTAAAAAGTTCAAAAAGAAGTCTATTGAGGATCAGGACAAAGGGAGTGAGAATGAAAATCAGCATGATGGGACTATTCACATTAGGGAGATATCTCTTAATCTTTACTGTGTGGTTTCATTAACGCTCCCTTCTTAGTTCTGATCTAATGTCAGTAGGACCCAGGACTAGTTTAAGCAGAACTCCTTGGGGCTAACATACATGGGCTCATACCAATATTGCCCAATGGAGCCAAGGGAGGAGAAAGAGTATGAACTAATAAAGACATGAATGTAGAAAGAGAAGGTTATGGGGATAATATGTTAGGTCATCTTATAAGCTATAGAAGGAAAGCTAAAGCGAGTTGTCCTGAAAAAAATAAGTACTAAGATGACCCAGTACTTGAAGCCTTTATACATTAAGGCACATTTCAATGAGAAGCTAATGACTAGGGTCCTAGTAGACAACGGCTCAGCAATGAACATATTGCCATCCCATATGATGCTCAAAAGGATGGGAAGAGTGAGACTTGATGCCAACTGAGGTGTCCGTTGTAGGATTCACCGGAACTGCCTTTAAGGTCCTCAGTGCATTACCATTACAGGTTGACGTCAGGACTAAATCCTCTTTGATAACTTTTTTTTTTGTCATCAACATTATAGCGCAGTATCAGGCCCTCTTAGGTCAGGACAGGATCTATACTAATAAATGCGTACCTTCCCTACTACACCAAATGCTTCTCATGTGGAAAGGGAAGAAGAGGTAAAAGTAGTCTGGTCTGAAGATAAACCATTCACAATAGTCACTGACTTTATGGATGCGAGGTATTAAGACATTGATATGGGTTTGTTCACATTTTGATGGGCACAGAAGATCTAAATAGAGTCCTTTCATGCAAAACAAAAACGAACACTATAGTGCCTTTAGCATCACAGAGGCACAAGCCCATCATAGAACTAATAGATGATTGAGTCAGATAAAAGAAAGGCCATAGCAGCCATGACCATTTAGAAATTATGGTTGCACAACATACAAGAGAGACTAAAAGACTACGGACTTGAAACATTTAGGACTGAAGTTGTATATGAAGATGAAACCCAAAAAGTAACATAACTGCACGAGCTATATCCTGCACCTCTAAAGTTTGAAGACATAGCCCTGGAGGTTCAGGATTTGCTAGAAGAAGTAAATCTCAAATCTCCAAAGGAGCTGAGGATCACTTTCATTAGCTCACTATTGAATGAAGAATAAAAGAATGCCATCAAACAAGTACTGCA